AATTATTTTTAATATTAAGATCGTTTGCTTTACGGATGAGAACTTCAGTGACGCTCTTTTGACCTGAAAAATAATTCAGATCGATGAAAAAATTAAACCAATTTCCCATTTAGTAGACATCACACACAACTCTGACACCCGTGTATGTATGCTAGTCGGTTTTGTGTGTGAGTTGGTTGCGATGGCTGCACACGCGCCGTTTGTTTGCACGATAGTTGCATCGCGCTATGCTTGTCTATTGGCCGATGCATATTCAATGCTTGCTGCTAAGCAATACTAATGCGCATAGTACTCCAAAAAAGTATTCAAAATTACCATTCCTAGCTGCCAAATGAAGAGGTGTATCATTATAATTATTCATGATATCTATACTGGCGCCTTTGTTGAAGAGAATCTCGGCGACATTTTTGTGACCTGAAAAAAATTCAGATCGATGAAAAAATTAAACCAATTTCCCATTTAGTAGACATCACACACAACTCTGACACCCGTGTATGTATACTAGTCGGTTTTGTGTGTGAGTTGGTTGCGATGGCTGCACATGCGCCGTTTTTTTGCACGATTGTTGTGTGCGCGGCAGTTGTATCGCGCTATGCTTGTCTATTGGCCGATGCATATTCAATGCTTGTTGCTAAGCAATACTAATGCGCATAGTACTCCAAAAAAGTATTCAAAATTACCATTCCTAGCTGCCAAATGAAGAGGTGTATCATTAAAATTATTCGTGATATCCATACTGGCGCCTTTGTTGAGGAGAACCTCGGCGACATTTTTGTGACCTGAAAAAAATTCAGATCGATGAAGAAATTAAACCATTTTCCCATTTAGTAGACATCACACACAACTCTGACACCCGTGTAAGTATGCTTTGCGATGGCTGCACATGCGACGTTTGTTTGCGCGATAGTTGTGTGCGCGGCAGTTGTGTGTGATGTCAACTGTATTGCATCGCGATATGCTTGTCTATTGGCCGAAGCATATACAATGCTTGCTGCTAAGCAATACTAATGCGCATAGTACTCGAAAAAA